GAAGACTGTGAATCAAGAACTACTCAAGGAAGGCACAAGACCTGGAGATTGTAAAATAAGAAGCCACCAAGGGTCTGGAGTAGGTGATGAAATTGGACAAATTGAACCACAAAGGAAAAGTTGTCAAATGATGATGACAGAAAGTCAGAAAGTGGCAACGGAGAATAGGGAATTTCAATTTCTAGATCAGGACCAGATAATCAGTAGCTGAAGGAAGGTATAACCAGTTCTGTAAAGGTTAACCAGGGATGCACTGTCATCTATAGAGAGCCAGTTCTTATTGAGCACCAGAAGAGGGAACAAGCAAGACAGGAAAAAATTCTAAAATGAAAGGATATTTACTGATCTTAAAGTGGAAGTTCCAGAAGGCACCGTGGAAAGGGATGAGCAGATCTGGAGCAGGGCATTAAGGGAATCAATAAGGTTGTGGTGGATGGGAATGAAAGAGTGGACACCTGGCTTTGGACAGGGAGGTTTGTTCTTTAATTCAGTATTACTGGGATGGGGAGAATGAGCTAATTATTGGTTATGAGTCTAGGAAGAGTGTTCGTAAATAACGAAGGCAGGTGATTAGAAGGTTCAAGGCTGTCTCTCAAGCCCTCATCTGTTCCTAGCATACAGCAGGCACTTAAATCTGTGTAAGTATTGTGGTGACCTGAAAGATGCCACACCAGTTACAGGGGAAACAAACTTAGTTTACAATCTAATAAAGAAGATACAATTCATACCCATATAAGCATGGTAAAAGTAAAAAAAAAAAGACAGAGAAAAGGAGGGTACAGGGAAAGGGGAAATGGTGATAAGGTACTCTATGAAAAACTGATAGGAAGTAATCCCTTCCAGTGGGGATGATGCTATGAAAAAGGTAAGACATCAGGGAATGAAGGTAGAGTGGATGCAGTTCACTTCTGGTGTATGAAACAGTTCTTGAATATAGAGATTTCAGTATGAGAGTGAGCAACGGTTCATATAGTACAGTCTGGCTGGAATGTTGAGCTTGTGAAGGAGTAATATGAAGTTACACTGGGGCCAGATTATGAAAGAATTTAAATGCCAAACTAAGAAATTTGTATTTTCTCATATATATGATAAAATTAAGAGAAGAGGATTTTAGACATTTTAAATCTGACATCTGGTGGGGAATGTGGATGAAGATGACGTCCAGCACATAGCTGGTGATGTAATTGTGGAGTTCAGGGAAGAAACTGGAGCTAGACATATAAATTTGGAAATCACGTACACAGAGGTGATAAAGGGCTTGGACTGGATCATGAAGACCAATAGTGTGTGAAAGGATAGGATCTTGAGAGACTAAGGAAGGATCACAGTAGAAAGAAGGAAGGAAAACAGGAAAGAAATTGTGTAACAGGAGCCAAGATATTTTCTTAAGACTCACCATAATGAGGGGGTGGTTGACAGTATAAAATGGTGAAGAAATCGTAAGGGATGAAGACAAAGAAAAGGCTACTGGATTTGAAAATCCAGAAGACACTGATGACCTCTGAAGGAAAAGTTTCAGTAAAGCAGTGAAGTCAGAAAACATATTGTGCCAAGGAGAACAGGTAGTAAGGGAGTAGATGCAGAGCCTGTTTCTGGAAGTTTGGCAGGAATACAGAAAAAAAAGACACAAGGCTAGTGTAACGGAAAAGGAACAGAGGAGAAGACTGAAAACGAGGAAAGGAGGAGATGATGGTGGATCTGAAGACAAACCACAGGCAAGAGGAACGGCCTCATTTTCATTGACTGGAACGGACTGGAAAACCAACTGCATCATGGGACTCATAAACCATTCCAATCCAACATTCTTGCGATGTAGATGTGGGCCTCCATGGAGCCTCTGCAGATTATGAGCACTTAGTGAGTTGTGGGGGGGCTCAGGGAGAGCCAGCATATCTGATTGAGCAGAAAGGTTTGGATGAGCCGCTCTGCGGGGCCAACCCCAACTGCCCACTCCAGCATCCCTGACGCGTGACCCTCCCAGGACCGGGAGAGCCCGGGCACCTTCCAGGGCAGCTCCCCTCCCAGTGGGGAAGCTCGCGGCGCGGCCCCTTCTTCCCCTCGGGGCCTGAAGGGCCTTAGCTCCAGCGCCCGCGGAGGAGGCTGGGCGCGTCCCGCCCGTCTACCTCAGGCCCCCATCCCAGGCCTGGGCTGAGACGGAGGAAAGCCCCGGCTGGGGTGGGCGCTCCCGAGGGCCGCTCCACCTCCGACACCTGCCTTTCCTCCCTACCTGAAGTTTCCTTCACGTCAGCTCTGCCGCCACGTTCTTCCTCCCGCGCGGGCTATCTCTTCCGGGTTACGACAGCCAGTTCCGGGGACCGAGGCTACTGGCTTGGAGGGATAAATCATCCCAGCCCTCGCTTCCCTGCTGTGCTGGGTTTCCGGAACTGCCCTAAGATCTCGCGAGAATCATTATACAGGTGGTTGGGAGGAGTCAGAGGAAGCTGGGTGGGGCGAGCCAGAGATGAGCGAGGGCTCTTCCTTTTGGCTCGTTTAGAAAACGTGAAAACTCTTCTTTTTGGCTTTTAAATCTTTTCACTGTTTGGCCCTAGCCTATCTTTGCAGCCTCATTATACATCACTTTTCTCGGTACCCCGTACCCCGTCTCCACGCCTTTGCACCAGCCGTTCCTCATGCCTGGAATGCCCTCCTTCACCTTCCCTTCTCAGAATTCCCAACTTGCTTCGAGACATAACTCGAGTACCACCTTCTAACCAGCATAACCTTTCTGATCCCCAGGACGGATAACTTCCCTCACTAACTACCTTCCATCGACCATCAACAAGCATTTAACCTGTCAGGGACCAGTTAATAAGCAAGGTTCTGAGGGGCAATTGATAAACATTTATTAAGCACCCTACAACATGCCAGGCACAGTGCTAAGCGCTGGATACAAATACTACGAATCCCTACTAGCTAAGAGTTTGCATTCTAAAAGGAGAGACAACAGGATTAGGTTGTAAACTCTGAGGGCAGAGATTATTTTTGCCTTTCATTGCATCTCCAGCCTGCTAAGCACAGCGCCTGGCACATAATAGGTGCTTTTTGAGTCGTTTTCAGTCTTTACCGACTCTGAGATTCCGTTTTTGCGTTTTCTTGGCTAGAGGTTGCCATTTCTTTCTCCAGCTTGTTTTGCAGATGAGGAAACTGAGGCAAACAGGGTTAAGTGACTAGCCCAGGATTACAGCGTTTGTGGCTGGATTTGAACTCGGGAAGATGTGTCTTCCTGTCTCCAGGCCTGGCACTCTACCGTATTAGGTGCTTAATAAATGCTAATTAACTTAGCTCAATATCTAGATATATAAATGACTCAGTAGATAAAGCACTGAACCCGCAGTCAGAAGACCTAAGTTCAAGTCATTCCTCTGATACTATCTATGTGACAGGCAACTCAACTTAACCTTCATTGGTCTACTTCCTCATCTGAAGAAACGGATAGTAATAAGTCCATGTCAAAGTTGTGGGGATCCACTTAGATAATGTATGTAAAGCCCTTTGCCAACCTTAAAAGTGCTATAAGCTTATTATTAGAGAAGCTATAAGCTTATTATTAGAGAATAAATATAAAAATAATAAACACAAAGCAATTTGAGAGGGAATTTGCTAGTTGTTAAGGGGAAATATATTTATTTAAACATTTATTTTGTATTTATCCTGTATATACTTATATATGCACATGTCATCTCCTCTATATATGGCAAATTTCTTGAAAGCAGATATTGCTTTCATTTTTTGTTTTATTTTGTTTTTGAATCCCCAGTGCCCAGCGTGGTGTCTGGCACACAGGTGCTTAATGAATACTTGTTATTTGACTCATTGATTGAAGAAGGGACTGAAAGGGAAAAGGGACTGATAAAAAGGCTATAACAGGGAGGGGAGGGGGGAAGGCAGGAGGAAAGGCCAGACTGGGAGGAATGATGGGGAAATTAGGAAAACAGAAGAAGGGAAAAGTGAAAAGAGAAAGAGGAGAAAGAAGCTAGCTTTCAAAAGTGAAGGGAAGGGAGAAGAGAAGGAAGAGGAAAGAGAGAAGGGGAGAGGAAAGAGAATGGGTGGAAAGGAGAGAAGGGGAGGGTGAAAAAGAGGGGTGGGAAAGAGAAGAAAAGAGAAGGGGAACACACAAAGAGAAGGGGTGGGGAAGAGAGAAAAGGGGTGGGGAGAGAAAAGAGAAGGTATGAAAAGGAGAGAAGGGAAGCTGAACAAGAGAAGAGAAGGAGGGAAGAGGAGGTAAGAGAAAAGGGGAGTGGGAAGAGAAAATGGGTGGGAAGAGAAGAGGAGAGAGGGAAAACGGGGTGAGAGAGAGGGGGAGAGAGAAGAGGAATGGACAAAGAGAAGGGGAAGAGGGAAAAGAGGAGTGGGAAGACAAGAGAATGAGGTAAGAGAGAAAGGAGTGAGAAGAAAAAAGGGGACAAGGAAAGAAGGAGTGAAAAGGCGAGAAAGGGAAGATGGAAGAGAAAAGGAATGGGAAGAGGAATAGGAAGAGAGAAGGGGGGAGGAGGAAAAAGAAGGAAGAGCGAAGAGAGGAGGGGAAAAGCAGGAGGAAAGGAAGAGTAAAAGCTAAAATGAAGAGGGGGAAAGTGAGAGAAAGGAAAATGAGAGACAGGGACAGGTGATTGGAGAAGTGAGAGAAGAGTGTGAAGGGAAAGGTTAGGGGGCAGAGAGGAAGGAGAGGGAAAGGGGGTGAAGGTCACGATTGGATGGGGAGGCAGGACAGGAGATGGGAGTTGAGGGAGCAAGGAGTAGAAAAGGAGAAGACGGTGGAAGGAGCAGATGATGGAGGTGAAGTAGAGGGAGAATGTAGAAATGCGTCATCTCGGGGAAGGGTGGCACAGAAAAGAAGAGGAGGAAGGAAGACAGAAGGGCAGGGAGAGAAGTGAAGGGACACTGAAGACAGGCAGGAGATGGCCAAGAGTAGAGAGAGAAGCGGGCAGAATGACGTACGCCTCGCCTGGGGCGAGGGGAGGAGCCGAGGACGGAGGAAGGCAGGGAAGTGGACCGGAAATGAGGGGGGGAAGTTCCGGTTGGCCCGAGCCGATCTGCGGATGTGAGAGTCGGTCAGGATCCTCTCGCGGAGCCGGAGCTGGAGCCGGAGCCAGAGCCGGAACCGGGGCAGGGACTGCCGCCGGGTATGTAGATCAGGGAGCGAGTGTGGGGGCCGGGGGCCGGGAGCCGGCGGCCGCCCTGCCGGGAGCTCCCTCAGTCTGCGCCGTCCTCGGGCTGCGGCTGCCGGGGCTCCCGGTTTCTCCCCGCTGCTCAGCCGCCGCCGCGGGGCCCCCGGGCCAGCCAAGCGGAGCGGCTCCCGGTGCGGTGGGGAGAGAGGGAGGGACGTCGCGGGACGCCCGGAACACAGCCCCGGTTGCCGCCCCCCTTGCCCAGAGCAGGGAAGGCACCGACCGGCCTGGGCCCCAAGCAGGAGCCGGCTCAGCTTTCCGAAATCGCTCCCTGCTCGGCCTCTGGGGCTCCTGTTTCAGCGCCGGGCCGGCGGGCAGTTGCCAGCTCCCCCGCGGTCATCGTGGCTGCTTCGGGTTCAGCGGCCAAGAGTCCCGACTTCATCCTCCCTCCCCGAACCACTTTGTCCCTCTATCTCCCCTCTCCCCTCTTCTGTTCCTCCCCTCCTGTTTCTGTGTCTTTGGCTCTCTGTGTCTGTCATTGTGTCCCTCTCCCTTCTCTCCGTCTCTCTCTCTCTCTCCTCTTTCTCATCTGCTCTCTCCTCTCACCTCTCCCTCTCCCTCTCCTCTTCTGTCCTCTTAAGCTGGATTTGAGGGCAAAAGGGGATTGTGGTCCAAAAAAAGCACCTGTTGGGATACTCTTCTTGGTCCCCAAATCTCAAGAGGCTGGACAGAGGCAGAAAAACCTTTTCTCATTGCTTGCTGGCTTATGGATGACCTTCCCTTACCCCAAACCGAACTGTACCCAGTTTTTTTCTTTTCCTTTCTGAATTCTCACAGACGCCTCCCAATCAGTGTCTTTGCCACTTTCTACCCTCTATCCATCTAAGCAACCAAATCACTCAGCCCTTGTTAAGAACCTTTCTAGGAAATTCAGTGATTTTGACTTTTCAGTTCATAACAGTAATTTTGAGATAGGTTTTACAGTTAAATTACTTACAGTCCGGGAAAGAGAAGTTGGGTAGACTTTTTTTGTGGTATAGTAATAGAGTGCGTATTTTGGCCAACCCTGATGACTTGAGCAACTGAATATAGGTGGAGGTGTATGCTAATTGTTATACCTATATTATTAGCCATAGTTTACATTTCCTAGTCAGGGGGATGTTTTCTTTAAATTTTTGAAAGGATGAGACACCCATTTGTATGTAAACAGTTTGTATAGATAATGGATGTCACCTTATCTAGAGTTATATAAATGGATGTACTTGTTAGCAGAAAATTACATATATTTGGATTTTTAGCCCCAATTCCACTAACAAAACAGATTTACATTACATAACAGATTACATTGCTTTGTCAGTTTGGGAAAGAGAGCTCAGACATTCATTTTCAGTAGTGTCATAAATAGAGAATTGGATCTTTTGGCCACAACCAAATGGCTTTAGGTACTGAATGTAAGAGGAGATATATGCTAATTATTATACCTGCCATTAGGGACAAATTATATTATTGTACACATTTTGTGTTACCTAATCAGGGTAATGTTTTCCTTAAATTTTGGAAGGATGAGACACCCAGCTGGATGGTACAGTGGACTGTCCCTTGACTAGAGTTAAATATGTGTACTTGTTAGCTGATGATTACCTATATTTGGGTTTTTAGCCTTAATTTCATTAACAGAACAGATTTCCTTCTTCTGGAGGATTGTAGTATATTTGAATACCATCATACAAATCAGGAAACTGAGGTGCAAAGAAGTAAGATGACTTCCTTACTTCATAAGTAAGATGACATGTGGGTAGTAAATAGCAGTGCTTTGAACTGTTTGAACTCAGGCCCTCTTTTTCCATATCCAGTGTCTTTCTACCATGCCACACTACTAATAAGTTTCATTTATTGGTTGTGTGTATTGATTTTTGTTTGTTCAACCAACCCACTTGGGAACTTTTTCTGAGACTTCCCATTTTCCTGCCATGGAGCTGTAATACTGCTCTTAAAGGGCAGCCAGTTGGTGCAGTGGATTCAGCACCAGTCTTGCAGTCTGGAGGATCCAAGTTCAAATGTGGCCCCAAACACTTACAAACTGTGTGACCCTGGGCAAGTCACTTAACCCTGTCTGCCTCTGTTCCTCATCTGTAAAGTGATCTGGAGAAGGAAATGGCAAACCACTCCAGTGTCTTTGCCAAGAAAACCCCAAATGGGGTCACAAAGAGTCGGACGTGACTGAAACAACAAAACAGTGAACAACGTTACTCTTCAGGATAGCCACTAGAGTAGTACTTAATATTAAACCTTTTATGATCACCATGGGTCCCTGATTACCCCTCTATTATAGGAGAATATTCCCACACTGTTGAGAAGAACATAAAAATGCTTTTTTGCTGTTAAAGAATGATCCATTTTTCTGTTTAAACTGTCAACAGAACTAATGCTAACTTGCTGAAAGATTTTGTCAGGTCTTATTATGAAGGATACTGCTGTGGTAGTACAGAATATTGATACCTTGGCTTATTTAGGGAGAGCCTGTGTCTTGTTGACGGTGTGTTCGTTTGTTCCATCTGTAAATAAAGCACTTTTCTGAGATGACCTTTACCTTATTTTGAGTACACATTTTAGTGCCAGACAATAGAATTTGAATGTAATGATGTTTAGAGCAAGTCATTTTAGTTTATACTTACTAAACTGGAAAATGAGTGTAGCTTTGCTTCCATTCTTCTATGACTTAAAATGTAATTGCCAATTTGATTATTTTTCCACAGTTGTAATTTTTATGGTTCTAAGGATCTAAGTATAGGAGAAGTTAACACTTAAAGTGATTGTGTGTAGTTAAGCAGAAGTTTTGTAGTAGTCAGAACACCTCATAGAAATAGCTACATACATGCGAGGCTCACTGAAACCAGCTGGTTCATCATAGGGGTAGAATCATATTAGACCTGGTAGGGGCTTAAAATATCATATAATCTAACCCCTTTTTTATATATAAGGCCAAAGGAAGTGAAGAGAGAACTGACAACCACAGAACTGCCCAGCATCAGCCAAAAATGGAAGAGGCTGATCTTGGAACCCAACTCTCCTGACCGAGTACAGACTATTCAATGTTCTTTTCACTCTGCCACAGTTGTTATCAGAGGGGTTTATGTGTTGTTGATATGGTCTACATAGTATATGTGAAAATGGTTTCTTTTGAACAGAAAGAAACACAAATAAGAAGGACAGCTTTGAAAGTTACCTGTTGAATTCATTTTATACTTAAAAGGAAAAAGCAGGCTGTATATAATAGAGTTTGTGTTTTCATGCACAGTCTCATTTTATTTGATGTCTGTTAAGCTTAAACTCAAGAAAAGAAAAGAAAATGTTCTCAGTTTACTTTTCTGTTTTGAATTGATTGCATTAAGAATAAAGTCAAGTAACTGCCAGGAAAAGACACCCAAACAGTGATGTAGGTTTGCCTCTGATTGGGTTGGACAAAGAAAAAAATGAGGGATTTCAGTACAGTAATTCTGAGTTAATGCTTCACTCCTAGGGGATACCAAGGAATCTTAATAAACTCACTAAACATTTGAGGAGGAGGATCATAGATCTAGCACTATAAGGCAGCCTAAAGATCATCTACTCTAATACCTGAGAAAGATGCTATATGAATTTCTTGGTAGTTCCTTTGAAAAATTTTTTTAAACCTGACTTAATTTGCTGTGTTTAGCACAGTGAACACTATATTTTGTTAAGTTACCTTAGCTATGTACTTTGCTATTTCAAGTAAACACTGTAGCAAATTATGAGAGCCTCATGGTTTACATAGGCATATGGTTTAGTCTCATGATTGAACGTCTAAAAAACTATTCTTTCGAATCTTTCCTCTTACCTAGAGGTAATCATCTCAGATTGTAATTCATCTCTAGCATTCAGCACTATTAAGTAAGTGCACTCTGAATCAGCATTTGTTAAGTGTATTTTGTGTGTCCTAGGTATAAAAAGAAAGTTAAAACAATATATTCCCTGCCTGCAAGGAGTTAACATTCTAATGATGGATACAACATGCAAATAACTGTGAATACGTGATTACGTATCGTGCAAATGCAAGGTGTTGCTTCGTTCTTCAGAGAGGATCAGTGATATCACAGAGGGATATCTTGACATATGGGTGAATTGGATTTAAGGGAGGTAGAGTTGCACAAAGCCATCAGCCTCATTCTTTCTTCCAGAGCCATCAAAGTCCAGTGGCAAGAGAAGAGTCAGGGTGACTGACAGTGGCCTGGGATACAGTGGATGACTTTGGGCTTCCTTGTCTGACCAGGCTCTAAGCACTCCACAGTGCCTGCTTCAGTCGCCTTCATGGCCGTTGGAACAGATCATTCTCATTCACCCAGTCCACTGGGGGAAGTCTTCACATGCTTAGGGTAGACACCCCCTAACTCACTGATGGGTTTGAGGTCTCTCTGTTACCCTCAACCTGAGTTAGCTTGTCTGCTGAGATGGTTTACCAGGCTGTGGGCTCTGCGAGTGCTGCAGCTTCTTGGAGCCACTGGTGAGAGTTGAGTGCTAGGAAGACACCAAAGGTGGTTGAGCAGTCCTGAAAAGGGTTCAGCAAGCCTTATACAGAGGTGCTAGTCCTCCTTGAACACCCATACACCCCAGTACAAATGGAAGATAATCTTAGAGGGCAGGCACTAGCAGTGTGAAAGGGAGTGCCAAGGAAGTGAAAGAACATGGAAAGCCTTGAATGCCAGAGTAAGGATTTTTCACTTTTATACTATGTAGGGGGGGATTCATTGAATATTTTTGAACAGGGAAGTAGCATGATCATATATGTGCATTAGGCAGATAACTTTTTTCCTTTTTAATTGTTAATACATGTATTTAAAATTATTGATATAATTTGTTTTGACACAACATACACTTTCCTGCAAACACACCAGCCTACAAAGTATATTTCTCAATAACAGTTAAGCAAAACTGCTTAATAATATGTCATTTTACACTCATAGTTTATCAGTTGTTAATTTAAACCTTGGTAGTAT